TGGGAGAAAGGAAGAAACATGGAAGCATATATGGGGGGAGTACATAGGATGGGGGGAAGAAAGGGGATGGCAGGAGATGGAGAGGGAGGTACTAGGAGAGGAGAGAAAAGGGGAGAAGTGGATGAAGGAAGTGGAAAAATGGTGGAAAGGAGAGTAAGGAGGAGGAGGGGGGAAGGAAGGGGGAGGGAGGCGGAGAGGGAGGGAGATAGAAGAAGCACCGGAAACGGAGGTCATGGAATGAGAGGAAAAGAGTGGAGAGTGAGAGAGGGGGAGAAAATGGAGAAGAGTGAGGTGTGTGTGTGCGGAGCTCTCTCTCTCTCTCTCTCTCTCTCTCTTAAGCGATTAGAATGTAAGCGATAAGATTTAAGAAATTAGAATGTAAGAGATAAGATAGAGGAAATGTAAAGATTAAGAATTGTAACCCCAAGGGGAGGCAATAAAGAATACATACATACATAAAACAAATTGAATCTTTATAATATAATTAATGAATTGTATTTATTTTTAGATAATAATACAACAAATGTAATGTTTACTACTGCAATTGATTATACAGAAGCAGATGCAGATTCAAAGGTTACGGATTATAATATTCACTTATATATTATAAAGGGTTTTTCAATAAGGGCGGGTCGATGTTGCAATGGAATAAAACAAGCTGTGTGTGAGGTATTAACGAAATTATTTTTTTATTTCAAAGGTCCATGTATACCATTGTGTGGAATATAACATCGTTCAAATGTCCGCCGCAGCTTCTCACGGTGGCACGGATCCGAGTGGTCCAATTTTCAATGATTCTGCCGCATAGATCCGGCTGAATTTGAGCGATAGCCTGGGTTATGTTGACTTTAAGGGCATCGGTCGATTGCGGCTTATTGGCATAGACCTGCGACTTCAGAAAACCCCACAAGGAAAAGTCTAGCGGGGTCAAATCGCACGATCTTGGTGGCCAATTCACGTCACCTCTGCGAGAGATAACCATACCCTCAAATCGTTCATGCAGAATGTCCATCGTGGCGTCCGCTGTGTGGCACGTAGCGCCGTCCTGCTGGAACTACATGTCGTCCACGTCCATATCGTTCAATTTGGGCCAAAAGATATTGGTTATCATCGTTCTGTAGCGCTCGCCATTGACGATGATGGCCTCACCAACGTCGTTTTCGAAAAAGTACGGACCAATGACGCCGCCGGCCCAAAATCCGCACCAAACAGTAACTTTTTGTGGATGCATTGCTACCTGTTGAACCTCGTGTGGGTTGGCGTCGTGCCATATATGCTTGTTAACATAGCCATTCATCCAAAAATGCGCCTCGTCGCTAAAGATGATTTTTCGGCCAAAATTGGGGTCCTCTTCCAAATGTTCCGAAGCCCAGTCAGCGAACAAACGGCGTTGTCTATGGTCATTAACTTTGAGCTCCTGTGCCAGTTGGATCTTGTACGGGTGCAACCCAAGTCCCGACGCAAAATTCGCCAAGTTGAAGTCTGCGAAAGGCCGAGTTCTTGTGCACGGCGAGGAATTGACTGCCTCTGGTTCTCCTGCACACTTTCACTTACAGCGGTGATGTTCTCGGCGGATCTGGCGTTCCTTCGACGTACGGGTGTTGGCAGATCGTTTACCGAACCGGTCGTCTCGAATTTGGCCACCAAACGTCGGAGAGTCGATTTTGGGGGGCCACCGCGTCTGCCGTAAAATGGGCGCAACGCGCGCAACGTTTGCACTAACGAACACTCATTTTGATAATAAAGTTTTATCATTTGGACGTGCTGCTCAATCGTGTAACTTGTCATGGTAATTTGGCATCAGTGACTGAATAATAAACAACAGGTTAGACAGACGCCGCTAAAACAACATGGCCACCACAGGCTGCCAACATCGACCCGCACCAATTGAAAAACCCTGTATTTGTATTCTTTTTGTCTTGTTGCATTAAAGTATTCTTTTGTTTTCCTGCATAAAATATTATCGATCCTACAATTCGCATTTATATCTTATCCCACACTACTATTGAGGAATCGATATCAACTAATGATGTTTCTAATACTTTCATTTTTAATGCTGATGAAACTGGGATTGAAAAAGAAATTTATTCAGGAAGATCACTAACTTTTCAAGGTGAAAGATATGTTCAAGCTATATTGCAGTCTTTACATTCAATGACCCATTCTTATGCTGTTATGCGGACCATCAATAAAAATGGTGATATTTTAAAACCAGTCTTCCTTGTTTTGCAAGAACCTAATTGGCATTGAGTGAGAAAGTTTCAAACAGCTTATATCATCCTAAAGTTTTATATTTCACTGGGACAAAATCTGGAAAAATGAGAAAATTAGAGTTCGTAACATTTTTAAAAAATTGTTATTATTTTAATTTACCTCCTGATACTAAATCAATACTATTGGTTGATTCGTGGTCAACTTATAATAATAAAAACATCATATTCTATATGGCACTCCAACAGATAAAATTCCAGCATTAATTTATTAAATCCTTCCAAAATGTATTGCATTATATCAAGCTTTGAACGTTTATTTGTTTAGACCGTTCAAAAATTATTTACGGAATATTGGAGATACCATTATTGCGGATGAGTTGAATTTTGATGTATATATTTATATTGTGTCCTCAAACTGAATGACTTTATTTGGAATCAAATATCATCATCTCGTTTCAGAGTTTTAAGAATTTACGCATGGTATAAAGCTGATTATATGAAAGAAAAGCCAACGGATTATTATAAATTTTAAACGTTTTCACAATTTTGTTTGAATTTTGAGAAGAACTTATATGAAATTTGTAATTGTGTAAACGTTTCAATAGATGTACGAGGGCGGTCCGATAAGTACTTAGCCTCACCGCCCGATGGCGCCACTATCGCAAGAGAAATTTACTATCGTGTAGTACATTCTCGTAGACGGCTACTGTCGAAATTTCAGCCGAATCTGACTCGTAGTTTTGTCTTGACCGCGTGTGGAAGCGGGCGTGTCCACGGATTTTAGAAAAATGGAAAAAGAGCAATATCGGTCGGTGATTCGATTCTTGTTTTTGGAAGGGAAATCGCGCAGCGAAATCAAAGAGAGCTTGGATGTTGTGTACGGTGACTCTTCTCCTTCGATGGCGACCGTCAAAAATTGATTTAACGAGTTTCAACGTAGTCGCACGTCGGTTTTTGATGAGCCACGCCCAGGTGCCCCGAAAACGGCTACCACGGAGGATAACATGACAAAAATCCACGATCTCGTATTAGCAGACCGCCGATTGAAGGTGCGCGAGATAGCTGAGACAGTAGGCATCTCAAAAGACCGCGTGGGTCATATCCTGCATGAAATTTTGGGCATGAGAAAGCTGTCGGCGCGATGGGTGCCGCGTTTGCTCACTCCGGACAACAAGCGCAACCGTGAGACCACTTCAGAGCAGTGTTTGACGCTGTTTAAGCGCAATCCGAAGGAGTTTCTGCGCCGTTTCGTGACCGTCGACGAAACATGGATCCACTGGTACACACCAGAGACCAAGAAACAGTCGAAACAGTGGACTTCACCCGGCGAACGTGCTCCGAAGAAGGCGAAGACTGTCCTATCGGCCGGAAAGGTGATGGCCACCGTTTTCTGGGATTCACAAGGTGTGATCTACATCGACTACCTGGAGAAGGGCAAAACGGTCACAGGGCTGTACTATGCCGAATTATTGGGCCGATTCGACGCCGAATTGCAGAAAAAACGGCCCCATTTGGCGAAGAAAAAAGTCCTCTTCCACCATGACAACGCACCGGCTCACACCTCCGCCCTCGCCACGGTCAAATTGGTCGAATTGGGCTACGAACTGCTGCCCCATCCACCGTATTCTCCAGATTTGGCCCCGTGCGACTTCTAAAAGAGTTGATAACAACGAGGCAATCATCTACATTACGTTACTACGTTACGAGATTTTGCACGACGAAAAACTTGCCCCTTTATATCGTATTTGCGCTATATCCTCTTCCTCTCTCATCGCATGAACAGTCACATTTCAACTCTTACGACTCTCCTTGTCATCCCTGTCCGACTTATTTCGACAGTCAAGTTTTTGCACACATCAAGTAATTCCCTTGTGATTATGCCAAATGTAGTAGACATAAATCTTATATGAATTTACGGATGTATGAATTTTTTATACATTTTGTACATTAATCAAACAAAATGCAAGATAAGTAGATGTTGTTAACCCTTTGACTACGAAAGGCGTATATATACGCTCTCACAAGTCTTTCAATATATACGAAAGGCGTATATGTACACCCTCACAAGTCCATCAATATATACGAAAGGTGTAAATATACGCTCTCTGCATTTTCGTACTATAACACCTTCCCTGTTTCACCGATTGATTCAACATGGAATTTATCGTCCTATGTAACATAGCAACTAAAGTATCGGCAATTGTTTCGAAGTATTGTTCAGTCAATTGTTATCATATTTGTTATAATATTGCAAGTTATAAGGTGCGAAACGTGATCGGCGTGACACGTGTTCGTTGGTGAATATACACGCAATGAACAATATCAATTCGAACAGTTTTTACGGAGACAAGATATACTTTTAATTTTTATTAAACTTTAACTTATTATTTTTTAAATCCTAAGAATGGTATCAAATCTCCGGGTACTGTTTTGGTCACTAGTTACTGGTCTGTGCAGCGCAGCGACTGACGTGCGAATAACGCGCCATCCCTATTGAAGGATTATTTCGAGATCGCGCCGCAGTGAAAGGGTTCATAAGATATAATATTTAATAAACATGAAAGTAGTTTGACAAATTTTTGAAGGAGGAAGGGCTAAATTTTTATAAATATGATTTATGATACATATAGCTTGTATAATATATTAATAACTTCTTACGATAATGATAATATTAGGTTGGGGAAAAAGAAAGCCATTATTTTTTCGTTTATTTCAAGGCTTTATTTAACATAGTTAGGATTGTTCGATTTTGGTCAAATAAACACCGTTTTGTTTTACAATTTGTCGCTATTTTAAAAGTAATTTCATGATCCCTCTTTCATAGAAGCCCTGGTCCTTATTTGCAAAAAACTCGACTAAGCGATTTTCACAGTCTTCTCTTGAGGTCAATTTCTTACCATCAAGGAAGTTTTGCAATGATAAAAACAGATGATAATCGCTTAGTGCCAGGTCCTGACTAGAAGGTCGATGCATCGAAACTTCCCAACCAAGCTCCCGGAGTTTCTGACGAGTCACTATAGACGTATGTGGCCTGGCATTGTCCTGATGAAAAACAATTCCTCTCCTATTGACCAATTCCGGCCGCTTTTGAAAGATCGCTAGCTTCAAACGGTCCAATTGTTGACAATAGATTCTGAATTTAGTGTTTGGCTATATGAAAGCAGCTCATGGTGGATGATTCCTTTATAGTCCCACCAAACACTCAGCAAAACCTTCCTGACCGTTAATCCTGGTTTAGCCACCGTTTGAGCCGTTTCACTGCGCTTTGACCATGATCGTTTTCGCACAATATTGTCATATGTAATCCATTTCTCATCCCCAGTCACCATCTGTTTCAGAAATGGCTCGATTTCGTTCTGTTTGGTCAAGGCTTCGCAGATTGAAATTCGGTCCATTATGTTTTTTTGCGTCAATTCGTGTGGCACTCAAATATCGAGCTTTATTTTTAATTCAGCTTTATGCAAACGGTTTAAAACTGTTTTGTGGTTGATCTTCAGCTCCTGGGCGATACTACGACCGCTAACATGCCAGTCTACTTCGATCATTTCCATAATTTTATTGACATTTTTGACGACGGGCCTACCTGTGCGAGATGTATCTTTAACATCAAAATTACCGGAACGGAATCGACAAAATCAAAATTACGCGTGATTGGCTGTGACAGTATCGGGATAACCATAAACACCATTCATAATTTCAGCCGCCTGGCTTGCATTTTCGTCTTTATCGAAGCAAAATTGTAAAATATACCGAATTTTCTCTTTGTTGACGTACATCTTTTACGTGCTATAACTCACAACTTAATCGACAAATCACAAAACCGTTAAAGAATTTTTTTTAGTACGCAATGTCACTTTTCCAACGAGTATAAATATTAACCTATGCAATTAATACATCACGTGATATATACCACTAAAGCCATCTAGCGGAAAAATAATGGATTTCTTTTTCCCCAACCTAATATTATCGTAAGAAAATATCAATCAAACTTATATGATGTTTAGGAAGATATCAGTAGTTTATCAAATAAAAAATGAATTACAAATATACACGTGATAAAATAATTAATTGAATTAATGATACAGAACAAACTTCAACAATTTCTATTATATTGTATTATTTTCGAAGTATTTAATTATAAACTTGTATTTTACAAGCATTTCGATAGATCATGATAAAATTCTACAAATTTATTGTAATTTCATTTATTTATATCGGATGCAAAATTTAATGAGCTTCTTAAAGATGTCATGATTGATTTAGTTTTTGATAGCATTTACAGATAAATAGATGGATAATATATTAAAGATAATAAAAAACAGTGATGATTACTTGGTAGAATGAATAAACAGTTTTTAAATTAGCCCATTTTTCTCTTATGAAATCCATGGAAACTTTATGCATTTGTGCAATATATAAATAGAAGTTTGAAAAATTGTAAAAATTTAATATTGATGCATATTTTAGTGGAATATTACAAGTTTATTGTTGAAAATTTCTAAAAATTAACTACTGACTAACACTTGTTATTTTATAAATTTTCTTTTATGTCGTATTCTATTAGATACTTTTGTTCACTTATTACATGTATGAAACAGTAACAGAATAAAAATGAATTAGAGAAAATAATAAATTCGAAAAGGAATACAGCTGATGCAGCTTGCTACAATTACCATATATTAATATGTACCATATAATAATGAGTTCATTGAAACGAGTTACTTATCTATATATATGTATGTAGTAGAGACAGTTCCAACTAAAAGTTGTACATATAACCTGAAGAGAATTAATTTATGTTACTACTGTTTTAAACTGTAACTGTTTTAATTATAATTAAATTTCTTTTAATATATTTTATGACAATACTCATATAACGCACTTTTACAATAGTTATACACGCATGCGTTTATATATAAATACAGGATGTCCAATTCTGAAGTTTCATCGCGGGGAGGTTGCTCGGTCGGATTTATGCATCATAGTAACCTTATAAAGGGCCAATTTTGTGTGTATGTGTGTGTGTGTGTGAAAGTGAGCTTATTCATCATAGATGTTCGAAAACGCCGCCATCAACAGCTCGGCACGTCGAACTCGCTTTTCGAAACTTTCGACGAGTTTCAGAAGAATGTTTGTTGGAATCGCTCGGCACGCATTTCTGATGCGATCCATTATATCTTGCTGTGTCGTTGACGATTGACGGAATATTGCGTCTTTCAAAAATCCCCACAGATAAAAATCCGGAGGAGTACGGTCGGCTGATCTTATATATACAGGGTATCCTACTTTAAAGGATCTACTCAAATATCTCAGAAACACTGCGTTAAATCGAAAAATGTTTCAGACAAAAGTTATATGGTTTCAAGGGGTACATAAAACAGCTATATCAGTTTGTTTACAGATGGCGCTACTTTCGAGATATTCACTGATCATTACTTTTCTTAAGTAAAAGCCCCAATTTTTTATTATGTCATCTTTTTGTACTAGTTAATTTGACTTTTGTACTAGTTAACATTTTTTATTTGCCTAATATTTTTTTAGATATTTAAGAGAAACTTGGTAACTTTTGCAATTTTTAACTTACAGTATCTCGCTAAATATTTGTCAGAAGAAAAAATAGTGCTAGACTTTTCTACTGTATTTGGTCTTAAGAATATATTATTACAATAGTGCCCTGACTTTTGTTAATTTGATGATTTTCAAATTTCCAAAGATCGATAAATTAATAAAAGTTAGGACACTATTATAATAATATATTTTTAAGACCAAATAGAGTAAAAAAGTCTACTACTGTTTTTCCTTCCGACAAATAGTAGACAAAGTTAGCGAGATATCGTAAGTATTGAAAAAATTATAAAATTTTTCTTAAATATCCCAAAAAATAATAGGCAAATAAAAAAATATTTCAGATAAAAGTTGTTCAAACTAACTAGTAGAAAAAGATAATATAATAAAAAATTGGAACTTTCATTTAAAAAAAGTAATAATCAGTGAATATCTCGAAAGTGGCGCCATTTGTAAACAAACTGATATAGTTCTTTTATGTACTCCTTGAAACCATATAACTTTTGTCTGAAACATTTTTCGATTTAACGCAGCGCTTCTGAGATATTTGAGTGGATCCCTTAAAATGGGACACCCTATATATATATTGTTACGTCCCGTGGAATTTTATTGGATTCAACAGAATTTATTTGATAACGTGGATATGACTATGAGGAAAGCGCCCCTGTACGGAGAACAATACACGGTTTGCGAAACACATCGAACGATATAGAGGAAGACAAATATTGTTTATTAACTTGGATATCGAAAAGCTTACTGTGATCGGATGGCTGGAACGTCACTGTTTAGGCGTCCGACGGAACGGGAGAAGGATCCCTCGTACGTGCCCGCGTTCCTCCCAGCTGAGATGACGGAACGTCGAACGCTCGCGATATCGCACTCCCGGCTTCCAAAAGTCGCGTCTGTCTTTTCTTGTACGAATTAATTAAGAAGATCGTGAAATTGGTTGAAGTCACGAATACACTTGGTTGCAATAATTGTAATGAGAAAGAACCAGAAAGAAAAAAAAGGAGATATACGAGAATATGAGAGACCGTCACGAGATGATGGAACTTGAAGATTCTCTAAGTACAATAGTTAAGGAGAGACTTGTGAGCACGCGTCCGAAACGTGTGACAGCCTCAACGAGAGTGAAGAAGCGGGCGGTTCGCCGATGGGCCGAGGAGTCCTTCTTCTTTGTGTCGGAGCAAGGCGCGAGTTACTCGATCTCCGGATGCACAATGATACGAACCCCGCCAAAGTGTCGCCTAAACAGTTCGGTTATCTTAGAATGAAAACGTTTACAATTTTATAGTCAACCGCGGGTGGACAATAATGCGGCAATCGCGAATTTAGGTACGACGCTTTACAATGATAGGCCAAGGAAGCGTTCCTGGCGAATTCGGCGCAACAAGTTTAATAATTCAACAGAGAGCGGCAAACGGGGGTAGCACAATTTTATAGTGATAGGTTTTTACTTCCTTACACTACATTTCTAACGCTTTGATCTAATAACCGGATAATACGTAAGGTTTAGCGAGATGTCGGATGAAAGAAACAAGATGGAGAATTACGATGCGATATGCTTTGTCTTCCATCCGAGATCCCTGAGAACTAAGCTAGGCCGTGTTGCTGACGCAAAATAGTTATGAGATTCGTAGAATTACAATGCTTATACTGCAGAGTTATAAAGATAACGATTAGAAAAGTTGTTAACGGTTATAACATAACTTTCCCACACTTAGTGCTTATTTTTATTGTTAAGAAGCAAGAGATGGGGAAGCTGCATTGTCTGTCCGCTATGATAAAAGTAATTTGGAATAATAGTAAGAAATAATAGCCAAGCCCTCGCGCAACCGGGCTGTTATTCTTGAGACTACGTAAGCAATGATAAAGCATACGCGCGCTGTAGAAAACGGCGTGTCAAATTAACATAAAACAGAAGTGCCAAAAAGAAAGAAACCAGAAAAGAGTAACACAATTCATATGTTAAGTTTAGCACATAAAATGTGTCACCCAAAATCGATATATCAAATTAACACACGCCGGTGTCGAAAATTTAACACAAGGTTTTCCATACACAAAAGAATAGTAAAAGCTATTAAAGCTTAAGCTATTAAAGCTATTAAAGTATTAAAGCTAACGCATTAACTTAAAACAAAATGCTTTTCACAATTACAGGTCGCCGTTACGAATGTTAACATAATATAATCCTAGTCCATATTGAACGAGGGAGGGGAGAACCGGAAGTTTAGATTGCAAGATGTACCGTTCGATAAGGATAAAAAAAGAAATAAGGAAAAAGAAAAAAAATAGGAGCTGAGACGTAACAATATATATATATATATTGTTACGTCCCGTATGGAATTTTTTGGATTTGTTGGGGGCGTAACTAGACAGAATATAATATGCCGGGCGTATCACTTGAGGAAAAGAAAAGAAAAGAAATTTGTTATGATCGCGAGTGGTTCACTCGCCCGCGCCGTAAGGGAGCCGCTGACGGTAAGGTTAGCACGCGATTTTAACCTTGATGGAACATTAAATAAACAGAAATATAAGATATTAGATTCAAAAGAATTTATTTGATAACGTGGATATGACTATGAGAAAAGCGTTTCTGAGCGGAGACTAAGGGCAAGAACACAGGCTTTTGCATAACACATAATTCATAACGCATAAGAGAATAAATCAATAAGTTTTCTTCATTTCTTTCCTCAGGACAGAAATGAAGAACTCTGATTGGTTGATTCTCTTATGCGTTGTGTATTATGCGTTATGCAGAAGTCTGTGCTCTGGCCCTTATACACAATTTGTGAAACACATCGGACAATATGTAGAAGAAGGTAAATATTGATTATACACTTGTGTATCGAAAGGCTCAGAGCCATAAAAAAATCAGAGTTCTTCATTTCTGTCCTGAGGAGGGAAATGAAGAAAACTAACTAGTTTATTCTCTCATGCGTTATGTATTATGTGTTATGCAAAAGCCTGTGCTCTTGCC